GAAATTTTGAAACTAATATTTCGATTTCGATTGCCAAGTGAATTTCGTATGGTGCTGGTGCATTGCATAGAAATCTCTACTGGCATATTTGTGTAAACAGCTGATTACTTATCACAATTTTAGTTGACAGTTTACCTATTTAATTCGCAACAAGTGCAATTTTAATACTATCAGCTAAAAATGTTGCGTACATTATATACATCATTAGCAAAGGTGAGTGGATTTGCATAAAAACGACAAATACAATGAAGGGATTCCTATTTTGCAGAGTACAAATTTAACTGCTGCTGCAATGGCTCCACTGCTCGGGGGAAGCAATCGTAATCAAAGTACAATCATTAAACAAAGTGATGGTGTACGTGAGATCATATTAAATGATCCCAGAGCACGCAACACACTTTCCCGTGAAGTGATGGCAAGCATCCTCGAAGGCATTACAAAGGATGCACATGATGAAGAGCTACGTTGCATAGTGATTAGCTCCACCGGTCCAGTTTGGTCGGCGGGACATAACTTGAAAGAAATTGTATGTACATATATACATATTTGCATTTATAATGAATTGTTGAATGCTAATTATGTACATAATTTTTTGCTTAGTCAGCCTCTACTGATGGCGGTTGTGAGATCTTTAGCCAGCTTGTGGAAATCATAATGAACATATACAAATCTTCAGTGCCGATAATAGCGAAAGTAAATGGCATGGCTACTGCTGCTGGCCTACAGTTGGCAGCCTCATGTGATATGGTCGTGGCATCAGATAAAGCAAGCTTTGCTGCTTCAGGGTATGCAATGGCCACACTTTAAGAGGGGGTCTAAGTGATAAAAGCTGAAAACATTGATTTCATTAGTTGATTTTGCTATTTGTTTCCTTATTATTTTCAGCATTAACTTAGGCATATTCTGCACGACACCTGGCATTGCGATATCACGTATTATGCCGCGTATGCGGTCTTCTTACCTGTTGTTTACTGGTTTCCCGATGAAGGCACCAGATGCTTTAGCGGCAGGTAACATTACAAATGAAATTTTAATCTTGGGTATCTCAAATAAAGTTTTTGATACTTTGAACAAAGGCTTGGCCAGCGTTGTTGTACCCGAGGCAGAACTAGATGCAGAAACTGACAAAATAACAAAATCAATAAAAGAGAAGAGTCGTGCAGTGATAGCCATGGGTAAAGTTTTCTATTACAAACAATTGGAAATGGGCATTAAGGAAGCCTACGAACAAGGCACAAATGTAATGTATCAAGCTTGATTGCATATTTTTTTCTGAAAGAAGTGTTATAATAGTAGCATTTTTTAGGTAATGGTTGAAAACATACGCATGGATGATGCACAGGAGGGTTTGAAAAGTTTTGCTGAAAAGCGTAAGCCCAATTGGTCAAAATTGTGAATATGTAGCTGTTGTTGACTTTTGAAAAAAACTTAATAATAAGCTCAATGAATGGATCGGGCTGCTATTCAAATGCATTTATTTTTCATATGTTAATTTTTGTTTTCCAAATGTACTTGGCATATTTTGATAACGTTCTGTGAAGACGCTATTTACTCAGTTAATGATGCTAGTAGCACAAATTTCTATAATGCCGCGGTGTAGGTTTTTATATCAACAATATAATTTCTATTGTAAAAAAAAATGTTTTGTATGATTTTAAGACAACGGCGGTCTTCGCACTGGATTAGTGGGCGGAAAAGCCCACTGTAAAAATTCGTATTTATTTCTGACTAATTCACGTCTGTTTGTTTTTGTTTCAGATGAATTAAGCATTGAAAAGTATCGCTATTTCTAGATGTTTTGAATGCCTTAGTTTAGAGCTTGCGAAACCTACATCAAGATGAGTGCTTAGAAAACTCACCTGTTTCTTCTGGTTGTTTTTCTTTATTGTTACCTTCGCTTTTAGTCATAAAAGTACAATTAAAGAAAATTCGTTACATGTTAAAATATTAACTGGTGTGCTTTGTAATTTAAAATAATTTTTTAAGTTTATTTAACATGTTTTTTGTTTGTTTAATTCTAGCTTTTGCTTGACGTTGAACTTCAAGCTTCAATTGATGTTTAGGCCTTTTTGCTGGTTTTTTTGTTCGTTGGATCATAACAGAGCTTTATAATATGTGATTTTTCTTGTTCTTTTTGTAGAACCAGCAATTTAGTCGTTGTTGTTTGTGCATCAATTGGATGTTTAGTGATTTAGCTGTTTTACTGCTTTTCTCAGGTTTTCGGAAGAAGATTTTGTATGCCATGAAGNTTTTTTTTTTTGTTATTTTTGTGGTAGTTTGTCCAGTTGACACCTTAAGTGTTGTTCAAAGAAGTGTAAATCTGTTTTGCGATTTCGTTTTTTATGTCAACAATGCGTTTGTTGTTGATTAATGAGTGTTTAATGAGCTGTTTTTCCATTATTTTTATTAGTATTTCGTAGATTGATGTTTTTTTTTTAAACTCAATACATACATACATATGTGCTAAAATTTTTTCACAACATCTGTTAATAAAATGCAATTTAACTTGCTTTAACTTTTAAATTTTTAGATTTACTGAAAAAAAATATTTTATTTATATTGTTAGTCTACAATCAAAGTACAATTTAAAACGGTTAATTTTATGTGCTAGTTAAAAACTAATTTTTTTAATTTTTTAATGCATGCTTATCATTTCTTAACCATAAGGAGATGTGTGTAAATTGGGATTACTGCTTGTGGAGCTTATCGCTTATAATATACTTTTAAGTTTTAATTATTTTTTTTCATTTAGAAAATATTTAACTAAAAGTTTCTAGACATTAGAGACTTTTCGTTTAAAGTTTTCGGGTCTTTGAGGCCCCATTTCCCTGTATAGAGCTCAGAGAAAAGAATGCAAAGAGAATTATTTGGTATATTATAACTACTTTTTAATTAGCCTTAGTGCTATAAATGTGCTAAAATATTGTGAGATTTTTTAGTGTTTAAATATTAATTTTTATAAAATATGAACTTTAGCGCTCATTTTTTAAAAACTTGCCTTGCTCCACGCCAGAATTATTACCATGCACACTGTATATTACAACTTTTTTTGTTAACAAAAATTTAATTTTTTTTTGTGAAAAGGTAAGGAAAGAAACTAAAAGAGCATATATTTATCAAATATTTACAAACAAAAAAAGATCAATTTAAAAAGATTTTCTACAAATCTAACGAAAAATTATAATTAAAATAAAATTTAAATTAGTAATCCCCAAGAAAACTTCCCCCCTCAAGCATATTATATCCGCGACAATTTTTTTTTTAATATTTTAGTATATCCATTCAGCAGTTTAGTACATTAAAACAAATATTAGTTTATATTATTATTATATTTTTTTTGTTGTAATTATTATTAGTCCATAGTTCATTAGGTTTACAAAAAAATACACAAAAAAGGAACAAAGTGTTATGTTTATCAATATTTGTTTTTTAAGTTGTTTTTATTAAATGTTATTGTTGTTGCCTTTCATGAATATCCGTAAAAATGTAAATGTGTGTGTATGTATTGCAAAAGCTTGGCTTTCATACAAATATTATTTATGTATAGGTGTTGTTGTTTAGAATAGTAGCTTAGTTGTATGTTTTTTTTTTATTCCTCTCCTCTACTACTCCAGCATTCGCTTCCCATCGG